GAGGGGAACATCACACACTGAGGCCTGTTAGGGGGTGGGAAAGCTAGGGGTGGGATAGCAGGAGGTGGGGGGATTGGGGAGGCATAATGTTAGGAGAAATACTTAATGTAGAGGATGGGGGGATGGATGCAGTAAACCACCATGGCATGTGTATACCTATGTAACAATCCTGCACAATCTGCATAGGTACCCCAGAACTTAAAGTACAATAATAATAAAAAAGAAAAACAATGGGAAAAAATAGCTTCCATCAATCTGTTCTTTCAAGGAATAACAATCACGTGTTAATGTCTGGGACTTTTGAAATTGTAGATGTACCTATTAACACCAAAACCATTCAATTTCTGAGAATAGAGCCTAGGAGATATTTCTACATGGATTATTGGTGTGACCAAAATAGAGAACTTATTAGGAAGCGCCTCAAAACTTTCACCTTCAGCCCTAAGTACAGGGGTACCTTTAGCAAACTTTAGAGCTAATGTTTTATTGAATGCTTACTATGTTCCCCACATTTACATGTATTATCTTGTTTAATATTCACAACAATTCCATTATATCCTTCATTTCCAATAATAGGTTAAATAACTTGCCTGATTTTATACAACCATGAAGTAGAAAAGCCTGGATTGAAAGTCATCTGGCATAAATCTGTGCCTATCATTGTTACACTGTTTCTGAGAAGGAATCCAAAAGCTGATCCTATATTCAGTGGGCATTTTTTTTCATATGTATATGTTACTAATTCCTCCACTAGGCTACAAATTATTTCAAGGGCATTGAATGTGTCTTATTCATCTTTGTGGGAAACTCAAATTCAAGCCCAATGTCTGTACATAGGAAGGATGTCTTAAATAAACATCTGCAAAAAGGATATTGTTATCTCCTTGATGTAGGTGGGAATACTGAGGCTTTAAGATGTTAAGCAGTGTGCCCACAGTTCTACTGCAGCAAAGCTTCCTTCTTATTTCAGTCCCTGACTCTTCCCAGGATGCTGCAGCCTCCTCTACTCTTTTCCCCCTTTCTGTTGCAGGTTTCTAATTTTAGTTTTTGATCATACCTTAAGCTTTTTGCAGGGGAATCAAGGAAGTCTCCCTGTTGATTGAATCAATAGACTTTTCTGGACTTCTATAGATAGAGCACTAAGTAGGGATTTATTGAGTTACTACAAGATACCAGCCATATTGCTAGATGAATTACCAACCTCATATAATCGAATCTTATTAATTATCCCATGATGTGGTGACTATGGTCCAATTTTATGAATGAAGAAACTAAGTCTGAAAGAGGTTAAATTACTTGTCTAAGGTCAGGCAACCATTTTTTTTTTTTTTTTTTTGGTACCAAATTTCTTTATTCAGGCAACCATTTAAACCCAGGTCAGCCTGATCCTGAAACCCAAATTCATTCAGCTATGCGAGAAAAGGTGGCATAGTATAATCTCTCTCAAAGCTTTATTTTAATCTAATTCTATGATGAATGACTAAAACTATTTCTGTTTTCCTTAAAAGAGAGAATGAGATGTTATTGGATCCTTTTGTTGTTGTGAATGCTATTGTCAAAACAATACCTTGACTGAAATATTATAATGTTATCATTACTTATTAATGAACTGAACAGCAAAACTCATTTTGAGCTTGTAATAGAAGCAGTGGTTATTCAGAGAAGGCCAGAATTCTTGGTTTGCATTCTTTTGCCTTCTGCCAGATTGCTATGAGCATTCACCCAGAGGACACATCAGGTCTATCGTAAGTCCCACCTTCTCACCAGTATCAGATAATGACTGTTTTTCATATTTCCATTCAACAGGCCTTCCTATTGCAAATCATTGACATTCTTCCTTTCAATAAGAGCCAGTAACTCCAGTTTCTTTCTGCCCTCTGCTTCATCTTTCTTTTCGTTTTATATAGGGAGAGTTAACAACCACAGTTAAAGAGAAACCTCCTGTCAGGATGTAAGTGGATGCCAACTCTGCTGCTGTTGCTGGCCAAGAGCTTAGGCCAGTCACAGTTGGTCTTGAATGAGATTCCAGGCACACCTGGGAGAGAAGCATGTTAGGGCACAGGGGTGATGACAAATTAAAATTACTGCTGAAGCAGAGTGGAGTAGCCCCTGGTTCATGGAAGATGTCATTAATGTTCTAAAAATAATCTAAAAGTATGCTTTGAAAATGTAATCTATTAAATACAACTCACATACTGAGGATTTATTTTTATGGTTGTCTTGCTGCAGAAGGAAGAGATGAGATGTCATGTTATCTGCCAGGTTGTGATAAACTTTCAAAATTTTGAGCATTTGCTTCCTTGATTTTGGATGTGGACCATAGTATATTACATCTATGTGAATTTGGCATGTCAAACTATAAGTTAGAAAAAAAAAAGAACCATTCTCAGCTCTCAAAATGAATGCTCAAAGCCTCTTGTGCCAGGCTCCAGGATCCCACATATTCACCAGAATTGGGGTAGGGGTGTGGTGGAGATGAGGAAATAGTTCTAAATCCTGTATCCCCTTATGACATAGCACTCAGAGCATACCTGCTGAACCTGTGAAAAGCCATAACTGCCCCCAGAACTGGCCAGGAACAGCCTCCCAGGTTACTGGGTCTCCTGGCTTGGGAGCTGTATTTGGGGCTGCCTACCGAAAGTCTAGTAGGACTTTTCTACTTGCTTAAGCTGGAGGGCTCCGGGATGAGAAAAAGAAAAGCAATCCATCTTAGTTCTCCTGTGCTATATTTGGTCACACACCATGCCAAAACTGAACTGGGGTTTCTTCCACAGTTAGAGTTTTTAAATCCTCCTTTCTATCTAGAATGAAGAAGTGTCTATTGAAACCAAGCCATGTTTTCTTGCCAATTCAATATTGCTAAAGCCACTTCATCTCTTCTTGTCCCAAACTTGTGTATTATAGGAAGTTTCTTCTCTCTTAGCTGTTCATCTGTAGAGATATTCTATTTCCTAGTGCTTCACTCAGTCAAAAAATTTCATGCTAAGCCAGCCAGATTTATACATATTCAGTTATTCCAATTCCCTAGCACCAGCAGCCCTTAGGAAGACTGACTCCAGACATGTGTTGGTGTCCACTTGCCTCCTCAAGCCAGACATTTGGTGTGATAAGAAGGCAGTCTCTAGAATTAACTGGCTGGTTTCAAATGCTACCCCGCCACTTATGAGTTCTTCGACTTTGGTCAAGTTACTTAAATTTTCTGAGCCCAATCTTCCAGTTTCAAAACAAAGATAATAATTTTCATCCCATAGATCTTGGTGGTGGAGGGTGTTAGTCTCTGTTGGGTACCATTGGTAGTACTCTGAATAGCAAACTGAACCCTGGCAGTCTGATCTCCACCCTGCCAGGCATGTGTAATCTAAATAGCTATTAAATTTTGCCTTCAACAGCTTAACTACACTGAGCTGGGCAGATAAGAGAAAATGAGGCCAGCATACATACTAACCAGGAGAACTTGTCAGGCTCATAAAAAACCCTAGCTATATGTATTATTCCACTTTTGTGTCACTATGCCTGAGACTGGGTGATTTAGAAAGAAAATAGGTTTAATTAGCTCAGGTTTCTGCAGGTTGTAAAGGAAGCATGGTCCCAGCACCTGCTTAGTTTCTGGTGTGGGTCCCAGGAAGCTCCAATCATGGGGGAAGGCAAAGAGAGAACGAGCATGTCACACGGCTAGGGTGAGAGCAAGAAAGAAGGGGTAGTGAAACACTCTGCAACAACTGGATCTTGTGTAAAGTCACCGAACAGGAACTCATTACTGAGCAGATGGCACTAAGCCATTCATGATGGCTCCTCTAAACCCGAACACTTCCCACCAGGCCCCACCTCCAACATTGGGGATTACTTTTCAACATGAGATTTGGAGGGGACAGACATTCAAATTGTATCACTATGTCTACTCAATCAGTCCAACATATCATTCCTGGAAACATCTGGGAGAAATTGCAGCTGCAAGGGGGATGTAGGACGCAGGGGGATGAAGCTGAATAAATACTGTATTGTGACTATTACTGATGCTAGCTCTTCTGCTTTATACACCCAGGGCTGTTGCAGCCTTTGAAGCCTCTATTGCATATTTACGCAGCTCAGCCTGTCCTCAGTCATTTAATGTACAGCCATCAGTTCCATAGAGCTCCTTTAAGATGGAAAGATGAAACTGCTAAGCCAAACCATATGATTTCCAGGAATCAACAGTACATAATACGTTTTTCTGTTTAGTATTACTGCCTCCCTCTAACATTTTCATGTTCACAACTGTGATTGGTTCATATTGAAATTTAAAGAGAATGAAGAATCAGCAAATTCAAATAGACAAATAGATCCAGATGATCTAAATTCAAATTATATTTTGGATCATCTGTGAAATGTCTTTGACTTGTTTCTACAGCTGTAAAATGGACAAATTAGAATCAACTCTGTAATTTTAAGGAATATCAGCAAAGGACTGTAAAGTGCATTTAAAATGAATTTCTTGCCCACTTTAATTTCCAGGTTTCAGCACAAAGTTGATACAAATAAGGCATTACATGGTTTGTTTCATGAGTAAAATAATATCATGTGGGGTATATAGATTTTGGCTTACTCAGGGATTTCTAAGTGGAGCAGAAAGAACCATTAATTGGGAGTCAGGAAACCTGGATTCTAGTCCCAGAATGACCTTGTGCTAATTGGAGACTTTTCTTTTTGGAGCTTCACTTTTCTTATTTTCCAGTTGAAGGAGCTGATGCTCTCCAGTTTCCCATCTGTTGCTAACACTTTAATGATTTGATTTAATCAATTTTGTAGCAGGATTATAGTAACAACAGTTCTCTCCTGGGATCTAGTAGAGGTCAAGTGTTTGAGAAGGTAGGAAGGGAAGGAAAAAAGAAGGGAGAAGAAGATGTGGAACAAGAAGAGGAAACAGATGTGAAGAGGGAGAAAGAAAAGGAAGATTCCATTAAATGTCATGGGGCAGTGCCAGCCCAAGTGTAATTGTGAAATAAGTAGGGCTTGTCTTGATACTTCTCACCATTTTTTTATTAATTTAGTTTCCAGTTTCCATGTTTCTTTAGAGGTCTCGCTGAGCAAACCCTAGCTGATAATCTAATCTTACCACCCTTCCAATATCTACTCTGGCTCCAAAGTACAAAATAATCTCTCTCTCTCTCCTTTCTCAGTTTAACCACCAATGCATCTGAACTCAGCTGCAAATTGGGAGAAACATAATGAATTAACACCAAAGTAAGAATGATTTAATTTTAAACCTTTTTTCAGATAGTTATGTTTTTTTGAAAATAGAGGGCTTGCAAATAGCATGTTAGGCAGAGAACAAAGTGAAGAGCTAAATCCAGGAGGTTTGGAGCAGAGTTACATGGCTACCACAGCAGCCTCCCAGGTCCCCTGAGATCCTGCTCCCTGTGACCATTTCCCAGGAGTTCCTCTGGTTTTTCTCAGCCTCTTCCCAGCTTTCATATCTGAACACAAAGGAGCTAGGACGTCAGAATCTTATTACAGCAGCTCCTGTGGGGCACCACAAATTCATCATAAACTAAATCAGCACATAAATTACCAAACATAACCAAACAGATGAATTAATAATGAACAGCTTCCCTGGCGATGACACTAGGAACAGTGCCTATGGGAGTAAAGGGAGCAGAGTGCGTGGCTTCTTTGTAAGTCAAGGAATACTGGATGCATCAAACTGGGAGAAAGGAGGGTAACCAAAGTTACCTAAAGTGGGGAGTAACACAAGTGATTTCTTGGACTATCTACTTTTGATCAGAAGCCTGCTTATTCTCAACTAGGTGTTAAACTTCAGAGCGAGAAACAAGGAACCAGAGTTTTCTTACTTTCTTATCCAGCTTTTGCTACAATTTCCAAATCCATCTCTGTAGGAGTGACTTAGGCTAGAAGTGCTGTCAGTGCTGCAACCACAAAACATGGACCCCAGCTCCCAGACTACGTTAGAGGGAAAATCTCTCCTTCCTTGCCCCGCTGAACTAATGATACATGCAGGAGCAGAGTTTGGGTGGAGACCAGGATTTTCTGGGACACTTAGACTGTTACCGTAAGGCTTAGACCATGGACCTTGGTTACACCCAGAGCAGTGTATCTCTAATGATTCAGCTAAAAGCCAACAACTTGAAGGCTGTGTTTTTCCTCCAGAGCCTGAACAACCCTATCTGCTGTTGCAGAGTGCAATGGCCTAAGTGGGACACCACATCCTCTTGTCTCTGTGTGTATTCCCAGGGATGTTATTCCAGAAGCCTTTGTGTGTATGCTGCCTGGTAATGTCCTTTGTCTATACATCAGGGTATAAAACAAATAGTTTATCATCTAGTTTACACTCTTAAAATTTTTTAAACTCCCAAGAAAAATGTCCACTTAATGGTTACAGAAAATCTCACATACAATTTCCAGAAGTTCAGGGCTGAAGATGGGTTCAGTGGATCCCTGGGCAAGATCCCCTATAGACCGAGCCATCCTTGCTTGAGACAGGCAGTACGAGAGGTATCAGATGCCTCCATTGGAAGAACATGTGGTGCTGAAGCAGGCACAATCTAGAGGGGTTACAGATAAAATGAACATTCCATTAGCTTTTCTTCCTGTACCCTATCTGAAATAATACTTCTCCCTTTTCTTACAATTCTGTATTCTTTCACTACTTATTTCTTCTTCAGAACACTACTACATGATATGAAGGGTGTACAAAAAGTTGGGAAACCAGAGCTATATATATATTTTAGAACATGTTGGCTGTATTGTGTAATAGTCTCAGTATGTTTTTCTCCAGTTCTTAAACACATTTTCATGTGATGTTTCTCTAAATGTAAAGCAACAGACCCATTTGTTCATTTCAAAAAGAACAATGAAGTATTTTTCTCAATGTTTTTAGACTTTGGGGGGCAGTCTTTAGTATGTTTATTGTATTGCTAGGAAAGAGATAAAAAGCACATTAGTATGAATGCATGTCTATTTGATGTCACCATTAACATTAGTTACTACTTTCACAGATATGACTGGAATATATAATCTCAAGTCCCATTAAGCCTTATTCTTTTAGTCCCAGCAGGCTCTTGTATCAACTAATTAACACAAAGGTCATTGTTCTCATTTTTAGAAGAATAACAGATTGTAAAAACACAACACTGATTATGCTGCTAGGTTTGGAAAGACACAGCAGGAACAAAATCTACTGCTTCATGAGAAGGGAGGAGTAGGCTCTTTCCAATCCTGTCTCTGCATTGCCAGACTTGACCGAAGGTGAGAGGAACCAATCAAAATATCTCTGGATAGAAAACATCGCTGTGAATGCACATCCAGCTGCCTGCAGAATCCCCATGTTCCTCTCAAAGATGGTGGCCCAATATTCCATCTCGGCTGAGAAATGATTCAGTCAACAGACTGTCACATATCTTGCTATTATCTGTGTGCTTGTGGAGTAACACATCGGACAGGGAAGAACTCCTCTTCTTTCAGTTGTTAACTTTGAAAGTAGAGACAAACTACTTTATTACTATATTAGGTAGAAGGTTAATACACACCTGAATAAAAAGATTCAGGCTAGTTTCTACTGCAAGATAGAAAAGGGGAAAAAGAGTACAGGAATACATCTAGCTGGGGAGGAGACAGGAAGGGCTTGCTAATACTTAGCTGTGTAATAAACACACATAAGAGCATCTCAAATATGAAACATATGACCAAATCCCTGCTGCAAGATAAACCTTTAAATTGAATCTTGAAAAGGAGAAAAATTTGAATATACAGTGATGGAGAAAAGTATATTCTACTTCCTGAGCAAAGGCCTACTACATATGATCCCCAGAGCCGTCAAGCACCGTGTTCATTTATTTACCAGTAATCTGCTTGTTATTTCTGCTATCCTGATTCTGGTTCAGACATCTCTCTCATAGGTTGTCCCTAGCTTGGCAATGGCAGTAGAGACCAAGGGGAATTCTTCATTAATGCAATATGATGCTTCTAACTACTTTGCTGATAAATGCTGCAAAAAAAACGCATAAACCAGATTGCTGAAGGCTCTACACTATCACAGAAGCATAGCTCAGAATACTATTTAGTGTAACATTTAGCTCTGGAGAAAATCCTGGAAACTTTGCAGTCAGGTAGGGAACTCAGCCACAACTGAAGTTGGTCTGCTTTCAAGTGGTGGAATAAAGTAAATAATGATTGAACTAGGCAGATGGAGAGGACAGCTCCTTGAAAAATGACTCTGTGATAGTTGAGTAAAAGCCAGTTTTCATCCATTGGCTCTAATGTTCAAAGGAGATTTCACAGGAAGAGCTCATACATGAAACAAAATTGATCAGTTCAGCGAGCTCAGTTTCTAGAGATTATACTTTGAATACAAGAAGAAATAGAATGGGTTTCTGGTGGTGTAAGAAACTGAAAAATAATCCAGACTTTTGCTCTCTCGATGTCTGAAATTCAGTATTACTCTATCAAATGTGCTTCTGCTTTTAAACCTTTCCAACCCCCCAATTTCTTTATAAATATATTCCAAGTACACTTTCAGATAAATGTAAACTTTTATATGAATTCATAAATTTAATTACTGCACATATACTTTTTAAGGTATAGTTTTTCGTTTTTCTTTCCCTCTGGAATCCTTGTAAATACCCACTATGTGTTATTCCATATTATCTGTAAGCTCATGCTATCATACTTTACATGTGTGCAAGTATACATGTACAGGAAGTTTTACAGTAGTTTGTTGTACATAAAAACCAGTATCATACTGTTATCCTTCTTTATGCTATTTTTCCACTCACTTTTTTTTTTTTTTTTTTTGGCAGAATTTCGCTCTCCTTGCCCAGGCTGGAGTGCAGTGGTGCGATCTCTGCTCACTGCAGCCTCCGCCTCCCAGGTTCAACCGATTCTCTTGCCTCAGTCTCCCAAGAAGCAAGAATTACAGGTATGCACCACCACACCTGCCTAATTTTGTATTTTTAATAGATGCAGGGTTTCTTGAGGTTGGTCAGGCTGGTATCAAACTCCTGACCTCGGGTAATCCGCCCGCCTCAGCCCCCTAAAGAGCTGGGATTACGGGTGTGAGCCACCGTGCCTGGCCTCCACTCACCATTTCTTTGTGGAAGTCACTCCAAGACAAATGGTTTACCTCTCATTCATTCTTTTTGATGACTGCATTATGTCTTATGGTGTGGATATGCAATTCTAGATAATCAGACTCTGCTTTATTCTTTAAGAGAAAGTTTTAAATGCCACCAAAATAATTATATTTCAAATGCCAACAAGATAGGCTTATAAAAGCATGTTTTCACATCAACTGTAAATACTAAAAACCTAGTTACACCTGAGGACATTACATGAAGAAGCCTGAGACTTCACTGCTCAGACCCTTCCATGTAGCAACTGAAGCCTTCAACATCACCATCCGGGCGGGGGAACAGAAAGATAAAGACTCATTTAAATTAGCATTCCCAATGAAACTGGATTTCAACTGGCTTCTATTACATACTTACTCAATAAGAAAATTCTGTGTACTTGGCATTTACTCTTTCATACTGACAATTTTTGCCTCCAGTCTACTTCTAACATTCTGTTTCCCTCATCTCTCCTTCTGTTTTATTCAAAGTGCAAAACCTCTTTTTGTCTTCCCTGTCTAAGTCAGTTGTTATGACAAGTTGTTACAGACCGTGTGGCGTAAACAACAAACATTTATTTCTCACTGGTTTGGAGGCTGGGAAGTCCAAGATCAAGGTGTCTACAGATCCAGCATCTCTCAAGGTCTCGTTTCATGGTTTGCAGATGGCTGTTTTCTGGTTGCATTCTCACATGGCAGAGAGCAGAGAGCCAAAGCAAGGTCTTGTGCTTCTTCTCATAAGGGCACTGATCACACATGAGGGCTCCACCGTTATGACCTGATTATCTTCTAAGGCCACCTCAAAATACCATCACATTGGGGATTCAGCTGCAACATACAAATTTTAGGGGGCATAAACTTTTAATCCCTAGCACCTTCACTATTTCCATATACTTTCAATCATTCCCCATCACTGAACGAATCCTCTCTCTGTACCACATTTCCTGGGTGTTCCTTTTAACCCCAATGTTTCCCAAATGTTCCCTGTCCCCTCAGCTCACTTTCTCTGGCTCCTACTCCTCACAACAAGTTCCAACAGAAACCACTTTTCTGAGTTTTATGCAGTTATTAAGTTTGAATGTAAGGATAGAAATGTACTTGCTTTCCTTTTTTATGAGTTTATCAAGTCCCTGCATGCACTGTCTATATTATCTTACTCATCTGTGTGGACCCAGACCCAGCACAGCTTATGAGGCTGTCTGTGTGGTGAATGCTCAGGAGATGGTTGTTGGGCAGATGTGGTTATTTACTGGAAAGTTATTCTGCTGACTCACAAAGTCAGTCCTGTCTGGCCTGTTGGCTCCACATGTACCTTTTTTTTTCTTTTTTGAGAGAGGACCTCACTTTGTTACCCAGGCTGGTGTGCAGTGGCATGATCATGGCTCACTGAATTGCAGCCTCAACCTCCCAGACTCAAGTGGTCCTCCCACCTCAGCCTCCCAAATAGCTGGAACAGCAGGTACATGCCATTACACCCAGCTAATTATTTATTTATTTATCTTTTTTGTAGGGAATGGGTCCCACTGTGTTGCCCAGGCTACTCTTGAACTCTTGAGCCATGTGTATTTCAGTCACCAGCTACCCAGGAAATACCTCCATGTTTGTTTCTTCTTTCCCTTCCCTTTCTCATTCCAACACTTAAAGTTCACTCCATATTATGTCTCTCCTGGACCACTGTACAAAGGTTTCTGAATGGTAATCCTGTTTCCTGTTTCTCTTACTGCATATATATTAAGTGGAAACTTCCAAATTCTTAGCTCTGATTTTGTCACTTCCCTGGTCAAAAACCTTCAGTGTTTTCAGCCAACTCGATAAAATCAAATATTTAGAAGTATGATTTGATAAAGGCTTGGTCTGATAAAACCTATGGAGGGTAGGATTGATAAAATTAAACACATAAATCTGGATTTCCAAAGTGCTATCCAGGCTTATCTCCACTACACCTCACCCTCTTATCACAGTCATTCTGGACTGGTGTGGAATTTCATTTTCTGTCTTTGGATATTGGCTGTTTAATGTGTACTGTACTTATTTTCTTTTTGCACCTTAAAAATGGCCTCATTTCTATTTATTGATAACTCACCCATTCTGGAAAAATCTTAATCATCACTACAAGGTCCCACAGCCTCCATAAGACCTGCTGTGATTTTCTCCAACCAGACATCTCTCTCTTCACTGGCTCCATTGCTTTTCGTTCATGCCACTCTTGTGTTTCCTTTTGTTATATGTACTTGTGGCTCCTCTAAATATATGTATTTAAATATACATGATGAAAAGTCTCAAATATATATGTATTTATAATATCTAACATAATTATTTCTGTATATATACATGCAGATACATCAGGCATATATCACTATGTATATATTTGTTCTTTTCATTATTTATGTTTGATTACTGAACTATAAATCTTTTAGACTAGGAACCATGACTTACTGCCTTTTGTTTCTTTCATTATATCCTTCAAATAGGTTTCCTGAACTTAAGTTAAAATTTCACGGACAAATTTAGCCATTTCTTACAAAATTCCCAGTAACTGGACTATACATCTTTACATTTAATAGATGAAAACTAAAGCCAAGTCTTCATGGCTAAATGCATAGAATCATAAAATGTTTGTTATAAGGCCTTTCTAAATTTACACCAAAGAATGATTCTCACCTATATATTTTAAGTAATACTCCTAGATATAGAATACTATTTCAATGAGCTATCCTTGACTAATATAGTGCAAAAAAGAATTTTGAATTTCTTGGCCATATTCAAAATTTTCTAAGATATACTATTCCATATGGCACATTTATTGTTGAAAGATGATATTTAGACATCACATAAATGCCAGGCCTAGGAATTTCTCTCCAATTTTAAAAATCTTGTTTCTTTTCAAGGTTTGGTAAAAAACGAGCTGCATTTTGACCTAAGTAAAACTATGTGGTATATATTTTTTATTGTGTACAATTTTTAAGATAGTTTTTAACAAAAGCAATTTACTAAAATGAATTTTTAATTCTCACCACATTCATTTCATGTAAGTAAGAATTTTATAGGCCAAAGTGAATCAAATAATGGGAAGCATTTCTCAAGATAACAGGATTGGAGAAGGACTTTTACATGGTAAGGCCAGAGAGAGAGACACACACAAAGGGGCTATTTTTCTATTGACACCCAATCAATTTTTCACTAAAATTTATTGTTTAAAATTGTGCTAACAGATCCCATTTTGATTTCTATATGTTAACTGTTTTGTTCATTTTAGGTGATGTCTTTGAATAAAATAAAATAGATAAAAATGAAGGGACTCCAGTAGTTGATCTAATATTGTTCTCCTAAATTCCTTGATGTAGCGGGTCTGACCCAAAGTCAACAACAGGGGAGGGTGGGGAGTGGGAATAGTTAATAAATATAAAAACTTAGTTAGAATGAATAAAATCTAGTATTTGATAGCACAGCAAAGTGACTAAATCAACAATAATTTATTATACATTGAAAAACAACTAAAGGAGCTAAAGCCTTTAATCCCAGCACTTTGAGAGGCTGAGGTGAGCAGATCCTATGAGTCTAGTAGTTTGAGACCAGCCTGGGCAAAATGGTGAAACCCCATCTCTACAAAAAATAAAAAATAAACTAAACATGCATAATTGGAATGTCTGTAACACAAAGCAATGATAAATGCTTTAGGTGATGGATATCACATTTGTGATGTGATTGTTATACACATTGATGTGCCTGTACCAAAATATCTAAAGTACCCCATAAATACATATACCTACCCATAAAAATGAAACAAACAATAGTATCATTTCACAGAGAATATTGTGAGGTGTGCTTTTGAAATCTTTGAAGTTCTAGTTCAAGTTCTTAACTCTTATTCTTACAAGGAAAATTCTAGCAATTAACAAAGTGTTCCACAGAATCTAAAATAAGAAAAATTATTAAATCTTCCTGAATGACTCTTTCACATATCTTAAAATACAAGTCAGTGCATGATTAGTTCCCATCACAGGAATAATTGCTCAAGCATACCTTACATATTTGAAAGGGCCCAAGACAAGAAGATGGTACAACTTACCTTGATAATCATATTCTTAATTAAAACTAATTAAAGGATTTTAGAAAGTTTTATATTCTTTTGTTTGGAAGACCAGAATATATTCTTGGCATACTTGGTACTATTGTTTCTCCTGGATCAGAAAGCAAGGGACTTTTCTTTCTTCTCATTAATACCTGTTATCGTTTGCCTTTCATAGCATCCCACCTTATTTTGACAACAAACATGCAAGAAAACAAAAGAACACAAAAACCACAGAACAATCCTCTTTACAAGGAACAGCCTTCTATAGCCTGTTTAAAGATACAGTTATCATAATGATACTTTAAAGATACAGTTATCATAATGCCAGTATTATATTATCACACTCTGGATTACCAGACTAAAAATGTGAATTAAAATGCAACTACAGAATAAGATTAAAATTGATGTTAAGCATATACAAAAAGTTATTACATGTTTAAATCACATTAAATTACATGTTCAAGAATATTTTTATTGCAGAATGAGATTTAGTGAACATTGCCTTGATTTTTCATTGGTTTTTATTCAAATGCTGTTATTGGAAAATGATTGCAGAGATCATTTATTTTTATATCTAAAATTCTGAGATATTTTCTATTAATTGATATTTTAACTGGTGA